CAGTTTTATTAGAAACGGCCCAACTTGTAGATATCGGTTGCCAAGGTGGGCACCTTTTGGACGAATTCAATCGTTTAGGGCTCGAGAATGGCATTTCCCCATTTCTTAATATTTCAGAATTTTTGTTAGAAGACTAAACGGATTTGATTTGTTTTTTTTTTTTTTTTTTTTTTTTGGTATTTAGGAATTTTTAGTAATTAGGTTTCTTTTCTTATTTTTACAGAATATTTAGAGCATGTTTGTGTTTTAGCAGTTTCCTTGCGCTGCTAGTTTCCTTACATTTTTAGAATTTCATTAATGTTGTTAAGGTTTTTATTTATAAATTCATGTACTGCGAATTCTTTTTTCTTCTTTGTGGATTCAAGGTACCCTCCTTCCTTTGTGAACAATCTATCACTTCTGTTCTTACGTCGTTATAAATGATGTTTAATCATAATGTGATTTATGGTGATTTAGGATATTAATTATATTATAAATAATATTAATCGTAATCGGATTTATTGGGATTTATGATATTAATCATATTATAATTGATATTAATTATAATGAAATTTTAATTGGAAACCATAATATTAATCATGTTATTAAGCCTAATGGATAGTAATTGTGATTCATGGTATTAATCATGATATTTATTATATTAATCATAATGGGGTGGTAATTGTGACTTATAACACTAATCATATTGGAATATTATGGAATGTTGTAATAGATGATGTTAATCATGCTTTTCTAATATGAAATGATGATTATTATATTATTGATTAGTACTATGCACAAGGATGAACTTATTTAACTTATAAGTTGTAAATGATAATAATAATTTGTATATGTGTTATGTGCATTATGAAGAACATGTGGGTTGGCTATTAAGCATACATTCACTTTTATTATCGATTTTGGTTGTGTTGTATATTGTGCCATTGTTAAATATGGCTATAATGTGTGGAAGTGCATATGTGAGCTGGCTAATAAATTTAGTCTCATATATATTGCGCCATTATTAGATATGGCTATGATGCTTGGATGAGAATAGGTAAGATGTTAAATAAGTTTTATATTCACTTATATGGTGCCATTGTTAGATATGGCTATATGATGCGTGGGTGAGCTGACTAATAAGTTTAGGCTCATTTATATTGTTCCATTGTTAGATATGGCTATGTTAATTTATATTATATATGTATATGCCCTTATACGAGTTGATTCATGGCCTCAGGATTAGTGGTTAGGGCTGAGACGTATATTGTCAAAGGCGAGTTACTTGTATAGAGATTTGTCAGCCCTGGTAGTAAAGGGGATGGTTGACTACTTTATATATAATTTTTTGAGTGATACCTTCTATGAGGTTAAGGTTGCCCTATACATAGTGATCGTCTATTAGTGTGTATATGTATGTATGATTGTATTAGCTATTGGGATGGTTCTGGTTAAAGATAGCTAGTTTATTGGTTATTTGTGGGATGTAGTAGAGAGGACTTGCTCGTGGGTTTAACTCACCTATGTTATTATATTTTAGGTCTTTGTCGGATCCAGCCACAGGGATGAAAGGTTGATTAGATATTTCATTCATCATTTATTCTTCTGGTTATCTTCAGATTAGGAGTTTTATTCATTTCCTTGACATTAAAATTATTTATTTGTATCATTAGACTTAGAGTTTGGTTTTAGGGGTCCCCACGTTATGGGATTCTTGAGTTGTATCATTTGGAGTATTAATGGAGAGTAATGTTGAAGGATTATTATAAATGGATTTTATTTATAAATTAAAAATTCCCTTCCACTTATTATTTCTTTTATTATTATTATTTATTATTCCATGCTTGTTTAAATATCAATTGCTTTTGATATCCTCTTATTTTTTGGTGTGGGCCTGGCTAACCTATACGTGGAAATTGGGGGGTATCACAATTGATATCGAGCACTCCGGGTTCGAGGGTTTTAAGGATTTTTTGTTATGATACTTCCGCGTTGCATACTCTAATAATTAGAGCCTAAGTCTTAGGAATCGTTATACTGCATCTTTCGGTCCGTTATTGGGTATTTGTATTAGTTACTTCCGTTTTATGAGATGACGGACTATAAGAGGAGGTGATGTAGGAGGAAGAATGTGAATAGAGATCGCAATTAGCCTCAGCATCAGGAGGTAAACTAAACTAAAATATTAATCGGAGAGGGATCTAGAACGTTCCCATTTGGAGTAGGTTAAGTCTATGAGTGAGTTGTGTGCAAGTCACCATATATATTGGTAGGCTCAGATTTCTAAACAAACTTGTTGATCTTGGACATGAGTATGAGGTGATACTTGGGATGGACTGATTATTTCAGTACCATGCTCAGGTTAATTGTCACAACAAGTCTGTTGGGTTTGTTGTACCCGAATAGGAGGTGTATCTTATTGTCATGCCACGACCTAACGATGGGTCTAGCACGCACTTGTGTTATATAGATGAGGAATCCCAGGAAGTAATCATTGTAGCTCTTGGTAGTAACCCAATAGAACATGAATTTAGATGTCATTCAAGAAACCCCAAGGTCACCACCAAGTCGAGAGATAGATTACGCTAAAACACCTTAATAAATGATGGTACTAATGAAGGGGAGAGAGATAAAAGATTAAGTTAGTTTATCAATCGAGGGACTTATTATTCATAGGAGCACTTTATGGTGAAAAGTACTGGTGTACGTTATGTGTTAATAAGAAACCTAATCACTAAAAACGACTAAATATATACATTCGGAATAATCCGATTTCATTTCGACCTCCAACAAAAATTACGAATTATTAAGTAGTTTTCTTATAAGACAAAAAAAAAAAAAAAATGAAGAAGAAGAAGAAGAGATTTCAGGGTATTGAAAAATGACATAGTTTACTAGCTTTGGATCGTTTCCACTTAAAAAATAGGTTCGAAAATGAACTTATGAAACTAACGAAAATTTTGTCTTACATCAAACATGAAGGTTTCTCAATCTAATAAGTGGTTAAGCAAGGAAAAAGATTTGCCTGAACCTACATTAAGAATTACAAGTATATTGATAATCAGGAAATTGAAGGATTAGCGGTGTCTGTTAGAGCAATCAATAATAACAATTACCGTAACATGGCTTGTGTAGACTGTAGGGTCTCATATTTCAAGTTCCATCCTGTATAAGTTTAACTTGTCAGAGTTTACATTTGAGGCAAGTGTTTTCTACTCATAATTTTGGTGCAGTGCATTCAAAGCCACAAAAGGGTAAGTGAGTTCAACTTACAAAACAAGGGATGAATGGAGAAATTATTACATGATTTAAGACTATTAGGGCTAGTTTGGTGTAGTGGAATGAATTGGAATGTAATGAGAATGGAGGTGGGAATGGAATGAGAAGAGAATGGAATGGGAGTGATGATTCTTATTATACCGTTTGGTTGCAAACATGAAATGTGTAAAAATGGAATGCTCATTCTCATTCTTATGTTTGGTAAGAAAGTAGGAATTGAATGAATTTATATTGTTTCTTTACATTACATTTTATTATTAGTAAAAAAATTAACATCTGCAAAAATAAAAGGGAGAAAATGGACGAGATAGAGAGAGAAAATAGACGAGAAAAAGGAAACAGAGGGGCAAGAAGAGGCGATAGAGAGAAGTGGGTGATCGAGTAGAGGGAGGCGTCGCCGCCGGAGAATTTGTATCCAGCGGTGGTGTTTCTAATTGAGACCACCGATCATATAGCAGCAAATCATAGACGAAGGTCCAATGTACCAAGACGAACACAACGGTGCAAAGAACAACCCAATACGACGCTACACGTGCTAACATGCGCCACCTGAAGTTCTGCGTGTAGATCTCACTCGCCCGACGAATTTTTTGAACATCTTCTCCTGTGACGTTCTTTGACGACTTTCAACAAACTGGTCCAGATCATTCATAGTTGCCGCCATTTTAGTCCACTTCATCACTAGATCAAACCCTCTTCTTGCTCGTCTTGGCCGACTTTACTTCTTTCTTCCTTGGTCGTCGCCGGTGTGTTTATAGGATTGATGTGGGTTTGTAATTTGTCGGGGACTTAGCTTTATTTTTTTTATTTTTTATTTTAGTCTGTATTTTTTTAAAGTGGGAATTGAATAGTCATTCATTTTGTTTGAAGGTGGAATGATTTTAATGGAATGACTATTCTATATGAATAGTGAAAAATGATAATTCGAACTTTAAAATTACGCACCAAACATGAAAAAAAAAAAAAAAAAATCATTTCATTCCAATTTATTTATTTATTTCATTCCAATTCTTAGTTCGCACCAATTATTAATTCACATTTAAATAAAATAAATAAATAAAATTAAAACTTTTACTTACATATTCATTAATGATTGATCGAAACATCTTAATCCCGTCATTATATATTGTAATAATTTCTCGAGCCCTCCGGCCTAGGTCTCCTAGTGGCTGACCCACTTTTACTTTTCTGAAATAAAAAAAGCAGGTAGTACTGTGGTCTTGCAACGTGCAGGTAATGAGACAAAAATATGAATTGAGAGGCGGCAGAAGGTTTTTGACTTTCAGGTTGCATTTCAAAGGGATTGGATTGGTTAAATCCTAACCTCTTTTTTTTTTTTTTTTTTTAAATTAATTTTTAGCTTGTTTTTGATAAATAAATAAAAAAAAAAAATTTTCTTGAACGAAATATTTTTGATGGATTGTTTGAATAGATTTCTTTTTTCAGTTCTTGGAGTTGTTATGAAATATTTTCTTTTATGACATTGGCAAATTAGACAGAGGAGAATTTGAACAACTCATTTATGCATTGAGGGAGTTGAACACTAATTGAATAATTAAACAAAGTTCAAAAAAAACAAAAAATATATATATATATATATATATATATATATATATATATATCTATATATATAACAAATAAATTAAACAATAACACATGCCAAAGTTGAATGATATTTAATCATCATTATCATTTATTATTATTATTATTATTATTATTATTATTATTTTGTGCTTTTCTTATCCTCTTAAACTGTCAGTCCCTATCTTTGAACTTTCACCCTCTCTCACAAAAGTCTTTCCAACATTCTTATTTTTTTGTCTTTTTCTGTGCAGCACTCGACTTTAGACTGTCTGTTCCTAGCTTTTAACTTTCAGCCTCTCTCACAAAAATCTTTCCCACTTTTTATTTTTATTTTTATTTTTTGATCTTTTTCTTTGCAGCACTCGACGACCACTTGTTTCTGTAAAAGGATAGAACAATTGAATTCTAGTGCGTAATATATATTATAAATCTGACTTATAATGAACTTTTATTTTCTTACCTAAAAAAGGGTTTTTTTCTAACAATCTTATTGAGTACTAAAATTTATTTATTATTAAAATTTTATTATTTAATACAGGGATAGGACGTTGCAACACTTCTCTCAAGGTGTATCGATCATTTCATTTTTGTAACTTTTTTCTGTCGTAAAAACTCAGGAGTCTATTTTTCTTTCTTTTTTCAGGCTTCAAAACTTGTTCTCAAATGGGTAGTCAGCTTCATGTGTTCTTCTTTCCATTCATGGCACATGGCCACATGATACCAACTCTGGACATGGCCAAACAATTCGCTTCACGCGGTGTCAAAACAACCATAATCACCACTCCTTTTAATGCCCCTATCTTCACCAAATCAATCCAAACAACCAAGAATTTGGGTACCCAAATCTCTATCCGTGTCATCGAATTCCCTGCCGTGGAGGTTGGCTTGCCTGAAGGATGCGAAAATGTCGATCAACTCCACTCCGAAGACATGCATGCCAACTTCTTCAAGGCCGTCACCATGCTCCAAGAACCACTTGAGCATGTCCTAGAAGAAGGCCGTCCGGATTGCCTTGTCGCGGACATTTTCTTCCCTTGGGCAACCGATGTTGCATCCAAATTCAACATTCCAAGACTTATTTTTCACGGAAGCGGTTTTTTTGGTCTATGTGCTCCGGAGCACTTAAGACTTTACAAGCCTCATAAGAACGTCTCATCAGACTCCGAACCCTTCATCGTGCCTAACCTTCCTCATGAGGTTAAGTTAACTAGAATGCAACTAGGAGATTTTGACAAAGAAGATATTGAGACAGACTTTACCAGGTTTTTAGATAAAGCTAGGGAGTCAGAGATGAAAAGCTTTGGAGTTGTGGTTAACAGCTTCTACGAGCTTGAACCGGCTTATGCTGATCATTACAGCAGGGTTTTGGGTAGGAAGGCGTGGCACATAGGTCCGTTGTCGCTATGCAATAGACAAGTTGAAGACAAAGCACAAAGAGGCAAAGAAACATCCATTGACAAACGCGAGTGTTTGAAATGGCTGGATTCAAAAACTCCCAATTCAATTGTTTATCTATGTTTCGGGACTGTGGCCAACTTTGCTGCGCCTCAGTTATATGAGATCGCGATGGGAATTGAAGCTTCTGGACAACAATTCATTTGGGTTGTGAGGGGAGCCAAGAATGAAGACAACAATGAAAATTGGTTGCCGGAAGGATTTGAAGAGAGAATGAAAGGTAAGGGCCTAATCATAAGAGGATGGGCACCTCAAGTGTTGATTCTTGATCATGACGCGGTGGGAGGTTTTGTGACTCACTGTGGATGGAACTCGACCCTTGAAGGGGTGTCTGCTGGAGTGCCAATGGTGACTTGGCCACTGTTTGCAGAGCAGTTCTTTAATGAGAAGTTGGTAACAGAGATTTTGAGAATAGGGGTTGGTGTTGGTGCTCAGCAATGGAAGATAGTGGCAAGCGACGGTGTGAAAAGAGATGCGATAGAGAAGGCGGTGAAGGAGATTATGGCGGGTGAAGAAGCTGAAGAGAGGAGAAGAAGAGCAAGGACACTTAAGGAGATGGCATGGAAGGCTGTTGAAGAAGGTGGATCATCTTACACTGATTTGAATGCTTTGATAAAAGAACTGAGTGCTCATCGCTCTTGAAGCAAAGCAAGAACATATAAAAACCAGACCAGCATGTATAGGATATGTGATTTATAATTGTTCTTTGTATTGTTAATTTGTTAATTGATGTTGTTGAAACCATTCTCAAAGGTGCCCCTGGGACGAGGGAGGGCTAGGATCAATTTAGCAATAGGTGGGACCTTCTGCTGCGTTGATCTTAGTCATTCTGGTGCACAGCACAATACAAGTTAGTAAAGAGGATTTTATTTTGTTGTTGTTAGCTTTTAAATTTGATTCAAGTAATTTTAAACTAATATATGGACATTGGCATGAAATTGTTCAGTGGCTCTTGTAATGATAGTGGCAATATGCCAATATTACTCCATGTTTTTCAGAGAATCGAATTGAAATCATAAAAATAAGAATATATTCGTTAATTTGATAAGTTTATTTTTATTTTTCTTAAAGATCATAAAAATATATGTGGACAAATGAAAGAGAGACAAGTGGACCAAATTATGGTCCAATAATATGATGACATGTGACATTTGTTTGAGATTACACCTAGCGCCTCCATCAAGACTTGAGCCAAGATCTTCCTTTAGAAAGCTGGACCTTGACACCGCTGGACCATTTAAATTCAGCTGAATAATGGATACAGCTGGCCTTTTTAATTCAGCCATGTAACAAGCCTTGTGCGAGCCCGAAGCAAGCCCAGAATATGAATAATGGATAAGGTAAGTGCTATAGTTATGGATGTGGGTTTGATATATAGATACATACAAAACCTCTCAATTATGTGGCCATCAAATTGCTACAAAGAAGGAGGTTAACGAATTTGCTAAAACTTGGAAGGAAGGGAAGTTAATTTGGGACACTTGTCATGTGTTGGTTTTAAAAGGAAAGTTCATAAATGAATGAGGATAGGAACATGGCAACATTCATTATAACTGGAACATATATATATATATCGATGCATATATGGCATCATCATATTCAAAACCATAAAGCAGAATGTTGGTTGAAGACCTGGGACACAGGGCGTCACTAAATTCAAGCTGAAAGAGTGCATGCAGATTATGGGCCTGGAAGTTGGCTTTTCATCGGACGTGGGACCATGGGTTTATAATAGGACATGGGTTTCTCTTATAAGGGCTTATAATGCCTATAAATAGCATATTGGGCAACATTAGTAGCCCCTTCATGGCATCAAACAACTTCATACAATGCAATTTTCATTGCAATTTTAGACATTAGAAGTCCGTGAGGAGTTTTTTATTCTTTCTCTTCCACAATCACCTGATCAAACAAAAAGGATAATTGTTTGTTCGATCTCTCTTGAGTCTTCCGAGACTCTTGCACACCCGCGCATTTCCAGAATCGCATTTGTGAGCGAACAACTTCTCTGAACTTTAATTTTTCATTGTTAAAAAATTAAACAAAACAAGCAATCTACTTCTCTATAAGTGGGCGATGAACTGATCTAATCAAGAAGAGCTCAGAGATCGGGTCGTTTTAAGTTTAGCTTGAGATGAACATGTAAATTAATTAAGTTCGAACTTTGTTTTTGAGTTTGTTTAGTAAACGAATCAATCCCGAACATTGTTAGATTCAACTAGTGTAAACTCACATGTTTTTATAAATATAAATTATAAACATGGGCTTGCGCAATGACAGATCCAGAAAATTTTGTGAGGGGACAAACTTATATAGTGGGTCCATTTTTGTAATTTCAATGAGATTTTCTTTATAAATTTTAAAAAAATTAAGTATAAAACGCAAAAAAATAATACTCGGTGAGGTGAATTGTAATTTTAATGAGGGCATATTCATAAATTCTCAAAACTTTGAAGTATAAAATGCAAAAAAATAAAAAATAAAAAATAAAAAATCAAGTGGGGGCAAATTATAATTTTAGTGCGTCTAAGTTCATGAAGACGCCAAAACAAATATGAGCTCAAATCGAGTCCAAACGATTTTTGTTATTAAACGATCCAATTCTAAGCTTTTTAAAGTAATGAGAAGCCGAACCCGACTTCAACTTCTTCAATTTACCACGATCTAAACTGAATTTGAATTGAGGTTACAAATAAACGAGTTAAACTTGATTTTTGTTATTTTAGTTGTAAGATTTTGATAAATTTGATAGATGGAAATTTATTTGGCTCCACGTGTAAACACCAAGCGTAACGGGTCCATGTAACACAATCATTATGCGGTAAATTTTTCAGGGCTACTAGATGTTTCAAGAATTCCCGAGTCCAACTAGAACCTAGTTCCTCATATTAACTGTGGTCGAAAGTGTTGTTGGATGGTGTGGATGTCCCATGTGTGTCGCGCACCAAGTTTAGGTATGGGACAATGGCATCTTGTGTCTAAATTTGGGATTTTTGTGCATCACCAATTTTGTTCTTGCAGATAAATACAAATCTGACCTCACTTCTTTATCTTCAGTTACTCTAAAACAAGGATAACTACAACTTTTCTTTTCAGCCTGTCGAGAAAGCTCCAGAGTTCTATTAGGTACTAATACTTGATCTCCCTATACACATATTTTGCAATACTCGTTATCTATCAAACACTCGCAGAGTCAGAAAATTAACCCAGTTCCCTTTTTTTCTCTTGGTTCATCATCTACATTTCTTCATAACTTGCACATGATTCCAACTATGGACATGGCCAAACTATTTGCTTCACATGGTGGTGTGAAAACAACCATAATCACCACTCCTCTTAATGCCCCTATCTTCGCCAAAGCAATCCAAACCACCAAAAATATGAGTAACCATATCGCTATCAGTGTCATCAAATTCCCTGCAGAGGAAGCTGGCTTGCCCGACGGATGCGAAAACGTCGATCAAATCCACTCGGAAGATATGGTTCCCAACTTCTTCAAGGCCACCACAATGCTCCAAGGACCACTTGAGCATGCCATAGAAGAAGGCCATCCCGATTGCCTTGTCGCGGATATGTTCTTCCCTTGGGCAACCGATATTGCAGCCAAATTCAACATTCCTAGACTTGTTTTTCATGGAACCAGTGTTTTCGCTCTATGTGCTGGGGAGAACATGAGACTCTACAAGCCTCAGAAGAATGTCTCATCAGACTACGAGCCCTTCATCGTGCCTAACCTTCCTCACGAGGTTAAGATAACTAAAATGCAACTAGCAGATCATGACAAAGAAGATATTGAGACAGACTTTAGCAAGTTGTTAGATAAAGCTATAGAGACAGAGATGACAAGCTTTGGAGTTGTAGTTAACAGCTTCCACGAGCTTGAACCGGCTTATGCTGATCATTACAGGAGGGTTTTGGGCAGGAAGGCATGGCACATAGGTCCGGTATCGCTATGCAATAGAGAAGTTGAAGACAAAGCACAAAGAGGGAAAGAAACATCCATTGACAAACTCGCGTGCTTGAAATGGCTAGACTCAAAGAAGCCAAATTCGGTTATTTATGTATGCTTCGGAAGTGGTGCCGGCTTTGCTACGTCCCAATTATATGAGATTGCAATGGGGCTTGAAGCTTCAGGACAAGAATTCATTTGGGTTGTGAGAAGAGCCAAGAATGAAGACGACAACGAAAATTGGTCGCCGGAAGGATTTGAAGAGAGAACGAAAGATAAGGGTCTAATAATAAGAGGATGGGCACCTCAAGTGTTGATTCTTGATCACGACGCGGTGGGAGGTTTTGTGACTCACTGTGGATGGAACTCGACGCTTGAAGGAGTGTCTGCCGGAGTGCCAATGGTGACATGGCCGTTCTTTGCAGATCAGTTCTTTAATGAGAAGTTGGTGACAGAGATTTTGAAAATAGGTGTTTGTGTTGGATCTGATCAACAATGGAAGAGGGGGGCAATTGATGGCGTGAAAAGTGAAGCGATAGAGAATGCAGTGAAGGAGATTATGGTGGGTGAAGAAGCCGAGGAGAGGAGAAGAAGAGCAAGGACACTTAAGGAGATGGCATCGAAGGCTGTTGAAGAAGGTGGATCATCTCACACTGATTTGAATGCTTTGATAAAAGAACTGAGTGCTTATCAAGTGCAAGAATATATGGAAACCTGACCAGCATGCATAGGATATGTGCTTTACAATTTTTCTTGTACTAATTAGTACATGATGTTGTTACTTCGAAATTTCATTCAAAAGAATTGAAACAAATTTCTGGGCATTGACTTTGAAATTCTTCATTCTTAATGCTAAATGGAAAAATATATATTGTTGCAAAACAGTAATCTATTAAAGCAGAAAATTGCTAGAAAATTGGGTGAGCTACTCAAAAACAATCTCTACTTCTGCATAGGTTTCCTGTCATTACTAGCTTGTTCTATCACAATTTGTTCAAACTAGAAAATTGAAAAATACTAGATAAAACATGCATGGATGTGCTTCAATAAAATAAAAAAGAAAGGAATAGAAAAGAGAGAAGTTTATTTTGAAAGATCGACATGAAGTGTCAAACTGATTTCTTATTTTGATAGTTGGTGTGTAAACATAGCATTGACGAGTTAAGCTTGATATACATACTTGAAATCATTTCATAGAAATTATGTTATTGGGTAATCGGAGATCTTCAAATATGATAGTATAATTAATTTGTAAGTTTGCATTTTATTTAGTTTAATTAATCTATTTGGTTGAAAAATTTTCAAGGGCGTGCCAGGTCTGATTCAACCCAAAATGTAAATAGTCAAACTATTCCTGAAATGATGCGATCAGAGGATCAGCCTCTTAAAATCAGGCAATTGTTGGAAGTCTGGAATGACCCATTCCTTCATATTCTGATGCCACTTTCGGCACCAACTAAAGAATATAATGAATAGGAGAAATGACTTAGAAAAAGAGATAATCCACATCCATTTTCACTTATAAATATTCTTCATACAACAACTTGGAAATTGTACAAAGATCAACTTGAGAACAAGTTGTAAAATATAAGGTTGAAACTAATCTAAGGCTAAACTAGAACTACTCCTAAGAAAGGCAATTGAAAGTTGGGAAATAATGACTACCTTATGAAAAGTATATGCAGATGTTTGTTTGGTCGGGGCTCTTTGAAACAGTATTCCCCCGCATTATTTATACTTGGACTCCAATGCGGTTGAAGATGGTTATATGACGGTTGTAACCAACTGCTGAATTTGAATTTAAACACATTTCAAATTTGAATTAAAAAATAACTCAAATTCAAATGCAACTACACTTTCTACAACGTGTTTCAGCACCTCCTATTTGTCTTCAAAAAACTCTATTGTAGGTGCAAATAATTCGTTTAACTAAAAAGCCAAAAGAATAAATACAACTCACTCAAATAAAAAATAATTAATAACAAGAACAATTTAGAGAAAAGCTTGTAATACTCAATCCTCTTTATTGGAGGTCTATGCCTCTATTTATATACAAAAAGATGGTGGAATTATGGTAGGATTCGCCTGTCCTCTAATTCATTCCATATATAACTCTTTACCTACAAGGTTCTTTCCTTGTATAATTCTTTCCATGCAAGACTTTTCCCACACAAAACTTCCTTATAAGAAGAATCCTTTGTTCAGTAAGACTTGATTAATCTGAATGGACTTGGATTATAATGTAAATGGGCCGGATGGGTTTTTTAGCAGGCTGAGAGATTAACACTAATAACCTTGGATCGCTATTGACTTACTTGGGCTTGATCAAGATTGGGCTTTGATGGGCTATTGGAGAACCAATGAGGTTATGCCTTATTTTAATGACGTGGATGATTCTTATTGGAGGAGGATTTTTCCCTGCACATCTCTTAACCACTTTGGCAAACTAAAACTATAGATAATCGTTGATAACCACTATTCTATAATTGGGGTCAACTACTATTGTAAATCTGTCACTAAATTTCGACACTCATAAGTTCGTGCGGCACCTCATAAATACAGATTCAGCACTGTTGGTCTTTCACTTTGATTTTACTCAAGAAAGTTATTGAGTGGCTGAACATAAAATTATATTTTAGGGTGCAAACACAATCTCCTTGCTTCTTACCTTTCAAAAAAAAAAATCTAGTTGCCTCTTAATATGTGACGATCGCATGAAGGACTTGTGTTAGGACACTATGCATGGTAATCTTGGAAAACATTTCCCAGCAGAAGGATTATAGTTTGAATTTTTTTTACAGTTTGTATAATTTATTTGAACTTTGAACTTTAGACACCTTATCTTGCTTTTTTTTTTTTTTGACCATTTTTACCACATGTACTTTGTAAAGTCTATCAATAGCCACAATTAAGGAGTCCTAAAGACTCTAAATCCACCCCATGCAAATATGGAATTCTATCACTTGGAACCAATCCAAATCCATTTCATCATTTGATCATGAAATTGCTCCAAAATTATGCCATGTTAGTGTTTTTACCTTGTTAATTCCAATTCCTGTCAGCATCGAAAAAGTCCCAAGGACTTCATATCCACCCCAAAGGTGGAATTTCATCACTATTTAACATTTTAAGTTGTTTCCATCATTTAATCGGGAAAGCAACCTCAAATTGAGCCTCAAATAAGGTTCTAAAGATGTCATAATCCCTCACCTAACCCAATCAAAGGGATTAAAACATTCTTTTGGATCATAATTTAGCCAATGGTACAATTTTATTTCCAACTAGCCGACCCAATTAGGTCAATTTTGAGAACTAACACAAATTAAGGTTTTTGAGTTCAGCCGCACCACCCATTCTGAAATTTTCAAATATCCACATTATAGTTCTCAAACATTCAAATTAACATTTTTGTGGTGAAATTCAAGTCATTTTACCTTGAAGTTCACAAAATCCTCTCCTTTTCGGGCTTATTTTCATTGTTAGATCACATAGAAGCCATCGGAGCCATCCAATTATGATCCCAATCCCCATTTTTACAAATCTCCATTTTGTCTTTATAAAAACCTTAAATTGATATTTTCATGATGAAATTAAAATCATTTTACCATATACTCTTGAAATCCCCCCTTGATCGGATTACTTTAGCAGAATCCCTCGGACCATCTGTCTTGGCTTGGCTTCATTCCAACTGTGATCATTATGACCATGAATGAAATAATTATTTTCGACTTTGATTTATGTAAAGATGCTGAAGTGTTTGTAATTATTCATAATTGAAATTGGGAGAAATTGGGATGGGCCATCTTGAGAAGTAGAATTCATAATACTTTAGGATGGATGGAGTTGACAAGTAGAGTTCCTTCATAAAGTTGTAACCTATTCTTCAATCTCTAGTCTCTGATTCCTTAATTAGTTTGGTTGCCTAATAAGATATACTATTTGGAGGGAAAGAAATTTAACAATGTAATCTAACGAGTATTGGGATCATAGAAGAATTTATCGAGAGGAAATAGTTCAGGTGGTTTGACTTAGAGCTGACTCGATTTTTAATATTGACGAAGCGAAAGCTACAAAACATTTACGAAAAACCAAGAACAACTTTGAATCCAAAAGTTAAGAGATATTTGCGGAGAAATTTGATATTTTATTAATATAATCGAATGAATGATTTGGCATTCTGCAATACAAATATTTATAATAAAAATCTATATATATAAATTGTTGAGGGTGAAATCTACGCGATCCGATACGACACCGTTTTCCTACAAAGAAGAGAGTAGAAGATTGATGAATCTTGACGGCACCAGTGTGGTGCCTGTCAAGAGCTCTCCGAAGATCAAGTTAGTCACCGGAGGTCTAAAAGAAAGGTAGGGATTTAATAATAGTTTTTTCGTCATACCTTATTCCTGAGTCGTCTTCCTATTTATCATCACTTCCCTTATTCTTGATAAGGGAATATCATAATCTTATCCCATGGAAATCTTATCCTTGATAAGATTTGTCATTATCCCATGAAACTTATTCAATGAAAATCGTTATCCTTGATAACGAAATATTATTTTTCAAAAGTAGAAGAGATCTGACAGCTGGTCAACACTTAGTTGCCTTTATCGTTAGGTTAAGATAGGTTAGGTTTATTTTTTCCTATCAGTTGCCCTCTATTCCCAAGCTTACTCCTCTAGCTTTGAGAAAGTAATTTTTTTTTTTTTTTTTTCCCCCGGTATTGTTCCCGAGGGAATAGTAGAATTTTTTTTATTTTTTTTATTTTTCCCTTGGGTGATATTCCCATGGGTAATCTTCCATTGGGTACTCTTCCCTTGGGTAATGTTCCTATGGATACTCTGCCCTTGGGTAATGTTGGTACTTTGCCATTGGGTAATCTTCCCTTGGGTACTCTTCCCTTGAGTAATCTTCCCTCGGGTAATCTTCCCTTGGGTAATGTTCCCGTGGGTACTCTACCCTTGGGTAATGTTCCCTTGGGTACTCTTCTCAATGGTGAAATTAACACAGATACTAAATCAAGGTTCTGTTTTGGAAGGACGTGGATTCAAACCCATGGTTAATGATTCTTAGTGATGTAAAACTGAATTTTTCATTTGAAAATCCAATATACTAGTTGTAAACTTCATGGGTTTTAGTCAGCCCATCCCTTTGGCAAGGGAATAAATTTTATGAGCTTTACTTAGCTCGTCACTCCTATAATAAGGGAATGAGCTTCACTCAGCTCGTCCCTTTAATAAGAGAATTAAATTTTATGAGCTTCCCTCAGCTCGTCCTTTTAGTAAGGGAATTAGGTTTTATGGGCTTCACTCAACTCATCCCTTTAGTAAGGGAATTAGATTTTTGTCAAGCGTCAGGAATGCCAAGTCCTACTGAGCTAAGCATGCTTGATGATTACTTTCTTGCCCCTTTTAATAAGGGAAGTAGATTTGCTCAAGCGTTGTGAGTTCACCCTTTAATAAGGGAGTAGTTAACCTTCCATCTCTTTACCGAGGGAAGAAGATGAAGTTAACCCTTCGCTCCTTTATGGAGGAAAGAGGTGTAGTCTGAAGGAGGGTGACCCATTTAATACGAGAGGTAGTCATCTCGCCTCTCTAGTAAATGAAGGAAGCTTTAATTATTTCACCCTTCTATGTAGAAGAAGTAATCGGTTTCTTGTCCCTTTAATGAGGGAATAATGTGTTGTTAGCTCTTAGTTCCTTTAATGAGAAAAATAGA